TTGGGTAGTTGGAATATAATCTCGACCTCAATTTACTTATTGCAAATTTGGGTGCAGAGTGATTGAGTTTAAGGATTTGTGGATCGATTTTGTGTCCAACTCTTCCATTGACACGGTTATTTATACCATCCACGTAGCAAGTTGACAATTTCCACGTATTCAAAGTATATCCACGCATAGAGCAGAAAATTCCACGTCAATGTAAGCTACTGGTGATGAGTCTCCTCTGAGATCGAGAGTGAACCGATAAATATGAGCTCCGATCTGTTCAAACCGCCTTCAAATCGACCAGTTTTTTAAAGATCCAACTGGCTTTAGGTTCGACTTGCAATAAGTAAATTGAGGTCGAGATTATATTGCAATTACCCAAAGATTGAGATAAAATTGCAAAACGCAAAAAGGTTAAGGTTTATTTAGCAATTAACCCTTTTTTTAACCTAGTAGCATATATATATATATATATATATATATATATTGCTAATCCCTCTTCTCCTCTCATATGTTTATCACACAACTTTTCTTTTTCTCTCCATCTCTCTCGCTAGTCACCGTGCAAAGAAAAGAAGAGAGAAATCTCTCGATCATCACCTCCATCTCTCACCCTCTCGCTAGAAACCAAACGCCACACCACACCCTCTCAAACTCATAATCCCGATCATGACCAGCACACCATCCCTCATCACCATTGTGACGTCTCCTTCCTCTCAATATTCGACCGTCATCATTGTTGTTCCCCTTCGCCACTGAGCCCCACCGTGAGCACCAGCATCAAGTCGTTGCCGTCGTTCTGTCATGATAAGCACCCCAGCAGGCCGCGTTGTCAAGCCCGTGAACGTGCGTAACAGCCCAGTTCAACCTTCCTTCAACCGTTCCTCAGTCGTTTCGTGTGATAATCTCGAGAACGGTAGCAAGGCTCGATCACCCTTTCGTTTATTTATGTGTTATGTGAATATATTGGTGTTTTGATGATTATTTCATGACTAGGTTATTAGTATCTATGTTATGTGGTAATCTTGTGAAAATTTATGTTATATTTTGTTGAACTGGATTATCGAGCATGCTGGAAATTATTAGGTCTTCTTGTTTTGTGCGTCTAACGGTAGCTATATGATGCTTTGATGCGGTTTCGTTGAATTGCTTTGGAGTGGGGATTATATAAATGAAGTCCATGAAATATTGTATTTTTTATGTTCTATTGTACTGCTGTATTGACCCTAGAATACTCGTTTTATGAAAATTTGGTCTTCATAAGATATGTATTATTCTCTGTTTGCTTTCTTTGGGCTTTAGAATCATGTAATTCCAATTTGAATGACTGAGTTATGATTTTTACAAAATTGTCGGACAAACAATTTTTATTGGAGGTAATGAAGCTAAATTAACTTCAGAACAAACCAAATTAAAGAATGTACCTTTCTTCACGCGCCAAGCGGAGTACTTAGCACAATCTTTCTTTAGACGTCCAGATTTCTTGCAAAAGAAGCATGAAATCTCATCCGGTTTACTCTTTGGAGCTGGACCCTTAACAGTCTCAACCTTAACGACCTTAAACTTTCTTGTAAAGCCACCAGCATCTTTCGAGGTACCAACCATAGGTACCTCCTTAGCCCTATTATGCTTTATTCTTGCTTCTTCCTCAACACAATGAGAAATAAGCTCATTAAGAGTCCACTTCTCCTTTTGGCAGTTGTAACTGACCTTAAACTGATCGTATTGAGGAAAAAGAGAGAGCAGGACCAATAGAAAAATCATGTCCTCCGAAAGGTCTAACTTTAGTGCCCTCAACTTAGAAGCAATACTGTACATCTTGAGGATGTACTCCCTTATGTTACCTTTGCCGAGTTACCTCATGGTAATGAGATTCTTTAAAAGAGTACTCATTTCTGCCTTATCGCTTTTGTTAAAGCGTTTATCAATCTCGACAAGGAACTTTTTAGCCATAGTAATAACATCATATATCTTGTAATATCCCGTCAGATTATCAGTATAAATTATGTTTTTTTAGTTCCGATATTAATTTTCGGAATTAATTATTTTCAGTCAGTTCAGTCGAAATTACCGGAAATTATTTTCGACGTACCGTTTACGTTCGGAATAATTTTGGTAATTAAGCATTATGTTTAATTGAATAATTAAACATAATTAAGTGATTAATTAATAATTAATCACAATAATTTGTCACAAACCGTACGGAACTCCTAATTATTCTTCCAAATAATTCGTACGTATTAAGTGAGGTGTTAGTGGATTTTGGTCCAACCTTTTCCTCATTATCAAGAATGTTAACGTGGCATTACTTGAGTTAATAGAATGCTTAGTCATTTAAGTATTACCCTAGTTTTTTACAAGTGTTATTAGCCTAAAATGAACACATCTTCACCTCATCAAGTTATCCCTTTCGGTGCCATATATAAAGAGGAGTTGGATGGAAATTTTCCCATCTTTCTCTACATATTTAAGTTCAGCATATATATAAACTCGATTTTCAGCCTTCATATTGTATGCATATTGGGGAGAGAGTTTATTGAATTTGAGAGTTCCGAACAGTTTAGCACCGTAAGTTCAGCAAGCATCCGTAGGCGTAGCAGCAGTACTCCACGGCAGTCAGTACACGCACGGCTAGTCGCGAGAACACACGCACCACACGGCACGCAAGCGGAGGGTCACGGCCGAGTACGGGAATCCGAGGAGTGTTGTCACTCGGGCTTAATCGGAGGTAAATTCCCACGGTTGTAGCCCGAGATTATCATGTTTATTAAGTTCGGTTTTCAGTTTAGGCGATCATGCGTGTTACATGTGGTTAAGGCCGTGCGAGAAGCCGTGCCGAATCATGTCATGTTCTAAGTTGAATTTTCCGAACAATCTTCGTATGATTAGTCTTTTTAAGTAATATCATGTTCAGAAAAGGTTAAGTGTTCTGAGAGATTTCATGTTTAAGTGTCGTGTCGGCCGGAGGGCATGGCCGTGCACGTAGCACGAGCCACGGGCCGTTCACGAGTAGCATATTTGCTAAGTAAATATTCTTTCGAACCAGCATGTTCATTTGTTCAGTATATCATGTTTAAGTTCAGTTAAGTGTGTTTTGCCGAGAGTAAATGAGATTCGGTCGTAAAACGGCTTAACGCCGTCGGCGGCGCACGGTGCGTCCGCCGCGGCCAAGTTCAGTCCTTTGAGCAAGCTTTCATGTTTTCAGTTTAAATCTGTTCATGTGTTCATGTTATGCCGTTTGAGGTCAGTATGTTTGGGAGTTGTTGCCGGACGGCCGGCAAGGGCCGGCCGTGGCCGCGCTGTCCGCACACAGCGACAGCAGCGCGCCCGGCAGC